GGAAAAGAGGAAATAGTGTGGGGAGGGGGGTACTGGGGAAAGTGAGGCACTCCTCACAAGTCCTTGAGGGTTCTCGGCCAGGCAAGTGGGCCTGGCTCAGTGGCCAGCACCACACAACTGGACCATGGTTTTCCTAGGCAGAGGTGGATGGGGAGCAGGGGGGAGGGAAAGCTTAAGACAGAGGGGCAGATAAAGGGGGAAGAAGGGTCAAGGAGAGAGTGAACACAGCCAATTGGGAGCAAGGGTTGGATTGTTAGATCCTTATGCGGGAGAAGAGGGATTGGACAGCTCAGTGGGGCCTCACCCAGAAGGGGAAGACTTAAGCAGGGAGCTCAAGGCTGGCTGGGGAGAAAGAGCGTGGGAGAGAGACCCAGAGGGCCAGAGAAAACAAAGGGGAACCTGCGAGCAGGAGAGAGGGACTTGGGTTATCTGCCAGCCCCCCTCCTCTTACATCATCTGAGGCCACTGCCAAGCTCCCTAGGGTAAAAGTCGCTCCCTGAAGGACTCTGCGGCACCAAGCTGGCACCCTGCAGACCCAGGAACAGACATCCAGGTTAGGAAATTCCTAGAGATTTGGGAGTTGGAGGTTGTGGTGGGTGGGGTTTGAGGAGCGGAAGGACCTCATAGGGGTATAAGGCCATAGACTCCACTCTCCAAAGCAGCCATTTCCTTTAGGGGAACTAGGGGTGCCAACCTCCAGGTGGAGGCTGGAGATCACCCAGAATTACAACTGCTTTCCAGATGACAGAGACCAGTTCTCCTGGAGAAAATGGCTGCTTTGGATGGTTGAGTCTCTGGCATTATACCCTGTGGAGGACACTTCCCTCAAAGCTCCACCCCCAAATCTCCAGGAACTTCCCAACTTGGAGCTGGCAACCCTAAGGGGAACTGATCTATGTAGCTGGGAGATCCATTGAAATGCCAAGAGATCTCCAGGCTGGCAACCATAGAAGGAGAGAAGGAAGCAGGAAAAGGGGAGATGCTATGGGGCTTTCAGGAGAGGGAAAGAAGAAATAGCTAGGAAGGGGGAAGTAAGATGCCTCCTGCAAGTCTTTGTGGGTCCTTGATAACAACGGTCTGTATGATCCATGAAGATTAAAATTGCATTACATTTTATCAAAGCATACAGTGGTAACAAGGAGAAGAAACCAATGCAAATGAACAGAAGAGAAGGAAGGTGTGCCAGACACACACACACACACACACACACACACACACACACACAAAGAAGCGTACTTTACAAATTTGGAAATCAAAATGGCACAATGGGGCATTTCTAAGACATTGTTTTTTTTCTGGAAATCAGGCCAGGTAATTCACAACTTCAGATAATTTACATAGTCCAGGCGGGGAAATGGAGGAAGAGGATTTCAGAAGTATCACCATGCGAATTGCACCAGAACTATCCAAACATATTTTGTCTGAATTGCATCGGACTAAGGGGCAGATCAGATTGATGTCAGGCATGCTAGATTAGAGGCTACTGAGATGGCAAGTCTGTTCAGCTCTTTATAGCATAACTAGGAATAAGGCCCATTGTGGAAATAAATAGAACGAGCTCTAGAAAGAGGCTCTCGGTGGGTACTCCAGCAGTCAGTGTCAATTTGTTGTGGTGACCTCAGCAGGGTATAATGACACAGAGTCCACCGTTTTCTCCAGGGGAACTGACCCCTGCCATCTGAAGAGCAGTTGTAATTCTGAGTGATCTCCAGCCCTCATCTGGAGATTGGCAACAATGGTTCCCCAGGTGGAAATGGCTGGTTTGGAGGGTGACGTCTATGGCAGTGTACCTGTCTGAAGTTCCACCCCTCCTCAAACCCCACCCTCTCCAGGCTCTACCCCTCAAATCTCCAGGAATTTCCCAACCTGGAGTTGGCAACCCTATCTCCTTCCCAGCCAACCATCAGCCTACCTTTATCTGCCCCTCTGACTTCAGCTTTCCATCCCCCCCCTCCTGCAGCCTCTACCTAGGAAAAATACAGTCTTCCTCCACAGTGGAGACCCAAGCAAGAGGGAAGTGACCTCAGCAGGGTATAATGACACAGAGTCCACCCTGCAAAGCAGCCATTTTCTCCAGGGGAACTGATCTCTATCATCTGGAGAGCAGTTTTAATTCTGAGTGATCTCCAACCTTCACCTGGAGATTGGCAGCAATGGTTCCCCAGGAGAAAATAACTGCTTTGGAGGGTGGACTCTATGACATTCTATTCAGCTGAGGTCTCTCCCTTCCCCCAAACTCTGGCTTCTGTAGACTCCACCATAAAATCTCCAGGAATTTCCCAACCAGGAGCTGGCAACCCCAGTCAGGACTGGCCCCAATGAGTTCCCCACAAAGGCCAAAGTAGGTCTGCCTTTTTACTGACAGAGCCAAGCTTGGTTGCCTAGCAACAGCCATTGAGGGGAAAGTTAGCTCCACAGTAGGAGGAGAAGGGAATGGTTTGACAGCCGGTGTCCCACCTCAGTAGCCAGCCAGCCACAGAGGAGCCAAGCAGGAGAAGCATCTTCATCAGGAGAGACAGCCATTTTGGCAGTTTATTCTGACAGGGAAGAGTGTTTAAACTGGCAGTGGGTGGGTGAGAGGAGCAGACCCAACACCCAGTCAATGGCATGTGAATACTCTTGAGAAGCAGTTGATGGGCCAGTGGCTGATGGAGCGCACAGCACAGCCAGTGGGAGAGCCGGAAAGTGCCAATATGCTGGGCTTTTATATATGTGTAGGATAAAAGCAAAGGGGGTGGAGGTCCCGCCGCAAGGAGGCTGGACCCTAAACTTTGACAGAGGAGGAAAAGAGAAACAAATATAAAAGGAACTTTGGGAGGGAAACAAATAAAAGGGACTGCCGAGGAAATGGAACGGAGTTCTACACATAAGGGGCAGCAGGGGTGGGGGTCATTTAGGGTCCCAAGAAATCTGTGGGGCTCTATACCCCCAGTGGAGACCAAGGTGGCTTACATTCTCCTATCCTCCATTTTATCTTCACAACAACCCTGGTGAGGTAAGTTAGGCTGAGAGTCTGTGTCTGACCCAAGGTCACCCAGCCAGCTTCCAGGGCAGGACTGGGGAGGGATTCAAACCTGGGTCTCCCAGATCTTAGCCGCACACTCTGACTGCTACACCACACTGGCTCTCCTCATAAGGCCAATTCCCAGCATAAAGGGCAGCCATGGAGAATAAGAACATCAAAAGAGCCCTGCTGGATTCGAACAATGATCCATCTAGTCCAGCATCCTGTCTCACATGATGGCCAACCTGTTCCTCTGGAGGGCCAACAACAGGGCAGAGAGGCCGGGGCCTTCCCCTGAAGATGCCTCCTACCACTGGTATTCAGAAGCTGACTGCCTCTGTATGTGGAGGTTCCCCTAGGTCACCAAGGCTAGTAGCCACTGTTAGACTTATCCTCCATGAATCTATCTAATCCCCTTTGAAAACTGTCTATTCCTGTGGCCATCACTACATCCTCAGGCAGCGAATTCTACATTTTAATCACTCTCTGTGTAAAGTAGTATTTCCTTTTTTCTGTCCTGAACCTACTGCCCCTCAGTCTCATTGGATGTCCTTGAGTTCTAGTATTTTGGGACAGGGAGGAAAATTTCTCTGTGTCTGCTCTCTCCACCCCGAAATCAGAATAGTCTCAAAATGAGAATAGCCAACGTTTACTTCTGGAATGATTTGTTTCTGGTTGAAATGACCTGCTCAGGATTTGCAAAGGTACTGTGCCCCCCCCCCCCCGTAAACCAACATGTTCTACATGTTTAACTGGTTACCCCATTAGTCTCTCAATGTCTGCAGGAAGTCACCTAACAGGTTCCCCAAGGCAAATAAATATGCAGTCCGTCAATCACTCTGCATATTAAGAATGCCTTCTCTTTGACCCATGAGAAGAGCATGCTAGGCCTCCGCCCTGCCCTCAGTGACGGTTTTCTTTCTTCATTTATCTCTTGCGTTACAGATCTTTGGACTTGCTCTGAAGGTGAACCCAAAATGTGGCTCCTGGAGAAGATCAGAGGCTCAGTGGAGAACGGAGGGGCTCGAGCCAGTGAGTCTGGGGACAAGCAGTCGAAGGGTCCCTTGTACAGCAACGTCCTGACCCCGGATAAGATCCCCGATTTCTTCATCCCCCCGAAGCTTCCGATGGTGCCTCCAGAGGCAGAGGGGGCAGAAGGGAAGGCCAAGCCCAACTTGGGCACCTCGGCCTCGGAGCAGAACCTCTCGGCCCGCAAGGCCCAGCGCAGCCCCCGGTTGCCGGTGAAGGCCGCTTCGGAGAGCAAGAACCTCCTGAAGGCTGCCAGTCGGCACATCATCCAGATCGAGAGTGCGGACGAGTGGGTGTCGGAGGAAGACTTCAGCACCAATGCGGACCCCCAGTCCCAGACGGCCATGTCACTGCCATACGTGCCCAAAGCCCAGACCTCGTACGGCTTCGCGACGCTCATGGAGAGCCCGCATACGCGGCGCAAGGAGTCCCTCTTCCACAGCGAGCACACCAGCCTGTGCCCCTCCCAGTCCTCCTCGCCCAGCTCCCAGAGGAAGTCTGGCGGGAGCAAGACCAACGGGGAGAGCGCCCACCTCAACCCTTCCGATATCAACATGTCGCTCATGAACCCGTACCGCTACTTCAGTGGCGGGGAAAGCGACACCTGCTCGTCCGCCGAATCGTCCCCCTTTGGCTCGCCGTTGCTCTCCAGGTCGGTGTCCCTCCTCAAGATCTTCAGCCAGGAGAGCCAGTCGAAGGTCATCAAGCTGAAGCATTCGGTAGCCCGGAACAGTTCCCTTTCCACGGACGACAGTTCCGCCGACACCAGCCCCAGCTCACAGCGGCGCATGCGCTCCGCCACCCCTCCGTCCGGGGGCGCGGCCGGGGGTGTGCAGCAGCAGCCTCTGGCCCCTGCCGACCCCCAAGACCGGCTCCACAAAGAACACACGATCCGTTTGAGCAAAGGGGGCACCATGCGCCTCGTGGTGGAGTACAACCCTTCCAACGCCCGCCTGCGGGTACGCATTGTCACCGCGGAAAACCTCTACGACAAGCACTGCGACGCGCGGAGCATTAACTGCTGCGTGGCTCTCTACCTGAACCCCGGGAAGCTGCAGAAGCAACGGAGCACCATCATCAAGAACAGCCGCAACCCGGTCTTCAATGAGGATTTTTTCTTTGACGGCCTGGGAGCCGGCAATGTCAGGAAAATGTCCCTCAAAGTCAAGGTGGTGAACAAGGGCAGCAGCCTCAAGAGGGACACGCTGATGGGTGAGAAGGAGCTCCGCCTCACCTCCTTGCTCCCTTTTTTATAAACCTCTCTGGGACAACCTCCAGTCACGCCTGTCCCTTGATGGCCCCTTCCCCCGCCCATAGAGGAGAAGGCTTGGCGATGGCCAATCTGTGTCCCCCCAAATGGTCATTGCATGTATGGGGTGGGGAGGGTGCAGCATCTCCGCATCTTTGGATGGCATCTCAGAAGCCCTTTCTTGCGGAAGATGGCCTCCCTCTCTGCCGGGGGAGCCCTTGGCCCACGTACATCAGGAGAAGGCCTGTTGGCTTCTGCAGGCAAGCCCCCATTGAGGGAGAGCATGGAGGGGAGGAGAGGGGGCCCTTAAATCTAGTTGTCCCGGGAGTGGGAGGCGGGTGCATGCCTATACCACGTGTACGTCCCCTCCTGGCTTCCCCGGGAATGCATGCAAGGAGGCAGACCAGCCTTCCCCTTTTGAGACTGCATGCTTCTTGTGCCTGAACATGCCTCCTCCCGCCACACCCAAACAATCCCGGGGGGGGGGGGAATGATTTCAGCAGCCAGGCTGCCTTCTGGGAAGAGAGGAATCGCTGTCTAGGTGAGCCTCATTGCCTTACTACCTTGCGCAGATCCTGATCTGGATTTGGGACCCGGGATGGGTCTGTGGGTTTTAGGGTTTTCTTGTGCAAGGGAAAGCCGAAGAGTGGGAAACGGGGAGCCATGGCCTTTGTCGATTTTGCAAAGAGCCAAAGTGCTGGGGGAGGGGCTTGTCCCCGCAATATACCTCATGCCTGTAGCAGCTGTGGTACTGACAGAAATTCAACAGGTGTGTGAGGATTCTGCCACGGAAAGAGACGGACCTGTTGGATTTGTGTCGGGGAAGCAGCTGTTCGCGCCACAGCAGTCCTTGCTAGAAAAGAAAACGGCACTGGGCCAACTTTCCAGTGGCGGAGCAGCGATGCTGTTGCCTTTGGGGTGCTGGTAGCTTGGCCATTCTTTTTGAAAGAGGGTGGGTGGGTGCCACAGTGACACAGGAAACAGCCCGGTCCGGAGCCCAGCTGCCAGTCCCGCCAGCCAGAGGTTGTCAGCTCCAGCTGGCAGCAGTGGCCCCAAGGCCTTTCACAGGCTTGCCAGTTGCCACTGTGCCAGGGACTGAACACGGGACCTTCTGCAAGTGAAGAGTGCCCTCCTTCACTGGGCTAAGGCTCCTTGCCACCCTGTTTGGGCACCCGCCCTGTGCTTTTTCTGATGCCCTTTGCCAAGGATCCGTCTCGCTCATCAGCTCGCCGAGTCTTCTGCCCATCCTTTTTTGAACGCGTCAGGAAAACTTTCTTGGTAGTTCTTTACGGGCTCATTCATCCCCTCCCTTTGATCTGCTCCGCTGCCCTGGAGAAGGAAAGGCTCTCGGTCTTGCCACCAAAGAAGTTTTTGTCACTTGTGGCTTGTTGGCGAGAAAGCAACGCCGAGGTCTTTGGGCTCAAACGCTTTCTGGGACTCATCTTACCACCGACTTGTTACTGTTTGCAGGGGCTAAACATGGCATCTCATTGAAGGGATACATACTCTACACATGCTCAGAGGCTTCTTCTTATGAAAGCATGTTCTGCAATCCACATCTGTCCAAGGATTCCTGCAATCCACATCAGTCAAGGAAGTCCTTGTTACTATTTTCAACTGTATATGGGCTTGTTGGGGCTGATCGATGAAGGCCGGGCACTCTGCACATGCTTGCAGGCCCTCTCTTCCCCCCCATCATGATTTTAACTTCACTGGACCTCAGTACTGGAAAGGGCCTCTTGGTCTTGGTCTCAGCTCGTGTGAGTTGAAATCATCCCACCTTCTGGATGACATCCTAGTGGCTTGAAGATAGACATTCTCTGGTGATCCCCAACAGTACACTGCTAATCACAGACCATCCATGCCTGACGAGAAGCACAGAGTAATTCTGCGACTGCTGCAGCCCCTGCAGTCGGTGCAAGGCACTGTACAGAGCAAAAAGCACTGCCCCCGGAGAGCCACATGAACGGGTAACAGCCACCATTGGGAAGCCGAGTCAAACCAAGAAATTAACAGAACAAAGTTTGAGTCCAGTGGGACCTTTAAAACCAATGAAGTTTAAATCTGGGTGTAAGCTTTCATGCACATGCGCACTTCTTTTTGGTCTTCAAGGTGCCGCTGGACTCAAACTTTGTTCTATGGCTTCAGACCAACATGGAGACCCACCTGAATCTATCTACATGCAAGAAATTAACAGTGAATCGAATCTTTGGGCCAGTTGCTTCAGTGTGTGTGTGTGAGAGAGAGAGAGAGAGAGACACACACACACACACACACACAGAGTAGGTTTCCCCTACTTTTCAGTTTAGAAGTTTGGCCAAGATGCACCCAGGAGTCAGAAGAAGAGGGCTGTATAATCTACATTTTTTTGTGATTTTCATTTGTAGCATTTAGGACGGCAGGTTTTCTGGCAGGCTTGTTCTAGCAGTGTGACGGCCCTGAGGAGACAGTAGTCAAATTGTGATTATACCTGCTAGGTGAATCTTTTCACTCTCCACAGAAACCTTTTTTCTTCTCAGTGGGGTTGATAATGACAATGCCCCCCCCCCGCCTTGTGGGGGCTCTTTTTCAGTCTCATGCCCCCAACCCCCCCCCCCTTCCC